TTGTAGTCCTGAGGGTGGGAGTCAATGGCTCTGAAGCCTTTATTCACATATTATATGTTGAGAGCTCTCTTTGGAGGTCTCCTTCCCCACTTTACAGACATTGACCACATTGTCCTACATAGTAACTTGAACCTTTGCAAGGACCTATGAACTAGTCAGAAACATAAAGGTATGTGCATGTGGGTTCACATGACAAAAGATACCAAACTATTCGTGACAATCTATCATTACCCTGGCTTATAAGACATTTCAATATCAACTTCAATTGAGGACAATGACTATACCCTATGGAGGACTTTAGGCTTATACAGGAATGGTAACTTTTCTGCACGAGGGCCAAAGAACCCATTTTACAAAATATCTTCCCTGGCCTTGGAGTGCTTTCTACTCAGAGCCTGGGTACTGTCCCTGAGCTTTGGTAATAAAGGAACAAAAGTGTTGACAGTCTATCCACTTGATTCACAGCACTACTTGTGAGAAATTTGGTGATAATTGGCCATAACACTCTCACAGCATTTCCTACCTAGTTTGCCTTTCAATTGTGATCTTTAAACCTCATACATTTGAGCAACTAAGAATTCAGATGTGAAGCACACCAGTGCCCTGTTAGATTAGGAGATCTAAATTACTTGATCCAAGTAGGAATCATGGTTTCCACAGAACAGGATAAAAAATTCATAACATCATATAGACATATGCAAAGGTCCTTTTGCAACCACTTGGTAAAGGACTGTTTACCTATCATTCTGTAAACGACATCCAAATTCTTCCATAAAAGATTTGGAAGAATGTATTATTTGCACAGATCATATTATTGATCCTCAGGTTGAATTCAGGGGCCAAAATTTGTGAGGCTTCCTTTACCTTCTATACCAGATGCCCTTTTGTATCACTGATTTTTCATCTTAGGGTCTTGTTTCTTTGCCTTGGCCTTTTGACACAATAATTTTATAATTACATATCACAAGTAGCAAACAAGATAGGTACATATGGCCAGATCTATGCTTTTATTGGCTAAGAAACCATATTCATGAAGTTTTGCATGGGATTGCCTACAAATACTGTCTAATTTCAGCTTCCTGAGTAGCTAAGATTTCACACCTGATGGAGTGTAATTGCTCATTTTTAATTGCTAGTTTTAAATTAAAAGAAGGAAAGGGTACTTTACCAATTCAGTGAGCATTAAGTCCCTTAAATTCTGAGTTCAAGCAAAGTGTTGGCCAAATGATAACAAAAATAATCAAAGCATTGGGGGGGGCGGGGGGGGGGAAGAAGAAGGATTGGGATTAGGGGGGGAGGGGGGAGGCTGGGAAGGGATGTGAAGGGTAAACAAAGGAGGAGGCTGCAATGCTTGGTAAGAAATGTACGCATTATCCTGCCCATGTAACTGTAACTCCTCTGTACAGTATGTTCACAAATAAAATTAAATTAAATTAAAAAAAAAATAATCAAAGCATTAACAAAATGTGCTATCATGAGGCATACTTTGAATGAAAGTGGTATGTTGGTTCATAATTTGAGCTATATGACAGGCCTAGGTAAGACTCTAATCTATGAGCTATCCTTCTCAGAAAGCATCCAGTTTGTAATCATGGGAGTAAGAGCTATTTCCAAATGGATGATGATGATGATGATGATGATGTGTGTGTGGTACAAGTAGGAAGGCCAAGGGTACAGGTGCCTCCCAATCCCCCTATTTTTTTTTTACTAGGCCTCTGTAGATAAGCAGAAGGGTGAAGAGTGTGAGGGAAGGGGTTAAGCGAGCAACTAGCTGAATCTTGCAGTGTGAAGTCCACTGTTCTTATCTTGTAAATGGAATCATAGGCAGGATTTAAAGATTCTTTTTTTATTGTGAAAATACCATAAAGAGGACTTATTATTTTTGAACAATTGAAATAAATACTGAAATTCTTGAAGCCATAGGAAGCCTGAGCTGAAGCACTGAAGGAAACTTCCTGTACCCAGAGAGATATTTCTTCAGAACAGCCCACAGGGCTCATGCTTTGATTCCTAGCTTTTATGGAGGCCAAGAGAATCTCCTTTGAAGCCAGCTCTGGATGGCTTCAACTCATTTCCTGAGTTGAACACCTCATATTGGCACAAAAACATTTCTTCATGAAAGTGTGAAAGTAGAGCTCTTCATGTAACCAAACAGCTCTGGACATATCTAGAATGACTGGCTTATATAGGATCTGGAGTCTTGGTCTTGGTTTACTAATTAAGTACTTTCTGATGTAACAGACATTTTTTCTAAATGCCTCCAGGATATCTTTAATTACATAACTATACAGTGGCATCTATCTTGGCTCTAGAAATTCTAAATTTAGGTCAACTTTTGTGTTTCTGTAAAAGAAGACAGTATATTTGTAGAATGCCACATTTTGGAAGATGGAATACTGGAGTCTTTTACACAGATAGCAGTCTGCAAGCAGCCTGTTGTAACAAAGACTTGCAGTCCACAAATACACTTAGACAGCTTGGAAACAGGACAGAAAGGAAAGAAAGAATATAAACAACACTGAGATATCAATCAGCACCAAGAGAGTCCTGAATTGGGACACTATGATGACCAGAGACAAGCCAGGAGACAGGACACAGGACATGATCACAGAGACACGTGGCATGGCATCTGGTGCCACTGCTGTTCCAGCCTAAATAGGGCCTAAGCAGGAGGTAGGTCTACAGGAAATTCCCAGTCCCAGGAAATGAACTAACAGATTGAATAACATATCAGCCAAATGCCCATGCCTGCTTCCAGGGATCCAGCCACACCCATCAGTTGGGAGGCAAGTGATGGTTGGGGCATTTCCTTCCCCCTGCATGAAGACAAGATGCCAGACCCCACCATCCATCATGTGGCCAATAAGGCACCAGCCAAACCTTACCCCCTTACTGAATATTACTCAATTATTAAATCTATTTTAAAAATGTTATAACCTCTTTATCATTTTGTAAACAGTTCAAGAATTATTTTTTGTAAAAGCCATTTTTCTTGAGCTACCTCTGAAAGAATAATTCTCACATTCACGAAAAATTAAACATCCTTCTTTTGAATAGTTTATTTCTTCCTTCTTCCTCATTCCTTCCCTTCCTATTTCCCTTTCTCACTTCCCTCCTTCCTTCTTTCCTTCCTCTGAGGCCTAGAAGGGATGCTGTAGCTCAAGTGGCAGATAGTATTTTCTTTGTTAATTTCATTTTTTGTGAGAGATTAATCAGTATCTTTCTGTGCTTGATTATTTCCCCTAATGTCATATCTACATTGGCCCTCTATGAGATAACACAGGTACGACACATCATTCACACTGGTGTTTTATTATAGCTCACTCAGCAGAACAACTAAATTTGCTAAGAGTTCATCACCAGTGATTAAAGAAAAGAGTAAGCACTGAAGACATTTTGAGGTTCTCCCCCAAGGCAAAATGCTGAGACTCTTGTCTTTATTAATCCACCATATTTTTTAGAATATATATTTTATTGTAAAGATACTGTATAAATTGGTTATACTATTATATGAATTAGGTCATGAATACATTTCCTATCGAGCATTGTTACCCCTCCGAGAAAGACTTTACCAGTATGTATGTACTGCAATAAGGACTAATATCTTCCATTCAAAAACTGAACTGGAATAAGTAAGTCATTTGTACTGTAATGCATGGATCACACATACAGAGGGGGACTTAAGGGAACAATAGAAAAAAAGTTGTTCTCATGTTCTTGCCTCCAATCATAACAGTCTTCACTCAACTATTGTTCCCCTAACCGTGTGGGAGATGATCTAAATCCAGTCCCAAAGGGACTGACCTCATATTTCTAAGAAGAGTTTATCAAATTACCTTGACACACCATTCCTTAGTATAAAAGACACAAGTTAATAACTTCAATTTCTGAATTACTTGTTATAACTGGTTGTTTCTGCATGCTTTGGATAATATTGAATGACACCATCCCCACTCAACACGATGAGAGGATGAGAAATGTTGGCTCAAAGAAAGCTGAAGAGTGAAGAATGGTTTCCCATCACACCTAGCTTAGCTCTGCCATGAAGGATTTCTCTGTATAATTTACACAGGTTTTTGGACAAAGATTTTCCTAGATTGGGCTTCTTTCCTGGGTGAATGTTCTAATACTTGCTGAAGGTTGGCTTCTGGTTGAAAGACTTCCTCTCATGTTTATATTTACAGAGATTCTGTCATGTGTCCAGGTCTCTGATACCTGTACAGATGTGACTCCTGGCAAAATGTTTTCTATATTCATAATTTCTTTCCTGTTTCTGCTCTCACATATGCTGAGGACTCATTTCTGATTGAAAGTCATTTCACATATGTTCTATGCACTACTTTCTTTTCTCCTACGTGAGTCAGTTCTCTGATGAACATGAGGTATTCCTTTCTGATCAAATGATTTCCACATTTGTAATATTTTTCATTTTATTTTATTTTATTTTTTGTGAACATACTGTACAGAGGGGTTACAATTACATGGGCAAGATAATGAGTACATTTCTTATCAAGCATTGCAGCCTCCTCCTTTGTTTACCCTTCACATCCCTTCCCAGCCTCACCCGGCCCCACCACCCTATCCTTCCCCCCCACCAAAGTTGTAAAGTTCATTTTTGACATGACAACTTGTACTTCTCATTGTTGCAACGGGTCCACCTGTATGCTGAAATGACTTGTTTTTCCCCTTCTCCTCCACAAATTATACCGACATCAAATATAGTGAAAGCAGGGATTATACTGTGGGGGAGGGACATACAAAGCAACAAAGAAATAATCTTATAAATGCATTAGAAAGAAATGCATGAAATAAAAAAAAACATTTAAATACACATCTAAGGGTTCATTTTCCTAACATCACATTATCTGACCTTTTCTGCTTGACTCATACATATACTAGATATTGCAAATAATAGGTCCCATGGTTTCCCTTATTCACATTTGTAATATTTTTAAGATTACTCTGCTGTGTGTGTCCTACGAACTTGGATCCATGAATACTTGATAAAGGACTTTCCACAATTGTTACATTTGTATATTCTCGCCTGTGTCTGTTCTCTGATGCAAACTGAGTTAGGACTTTTTCTTGAAAACCTTTCCATTGATTTTTCCTACATAGGATTTCTCTCCTCTTTGTGTGTGAGGGTGTGTGTGTGTGTGTGTGTGTGTGTGTGTGTGTGTTTTGTGTTCTGTAATGAACCCTGAGCTGTGTCTTGTAGTTGGAGGACTCCACATCTGCTGTATCATAAGGTCTCTATCCTGTATTGGTTCTGTATTGTAATTTCAATTTTCTTACAGGTCAAAGACTTTCCCATTTGGTACAATCCTAGGTTATTTCATTTGTGTGAAGCAACTTATGTGTGTTAAGCTGTGACCTCCAGGTCTTTCCACACTGGTTGCATTCATAAGGTTTCTCTCCTTGTGTTCTGTGATGGATGTTAAGTTGTGCCTTCCAGGTGAAAGAATTTCCATGCCTGCTACATACATAATATTTCTCTCTGGTGGGTTTTTTTCTGATGGACAGAAAGGTGGATGTGCTGGGTGAAAGACTTTCCACATAGCTTACAATCACAAAATTTCTCTCCTGTGTGTGCTCTCTGGTTGACAGTAACGTGTAGCTCTTGGCTGAAATACTTTCCACACATATGACATTCATAAGGTTTCTTTCTCGTGTGTTTTCCGATGGACAGTAAGGTATGACTTCTTGGTGAAAGAATTTCCACACATGTTACATTCATAAGGTTTCTCTCCTGTGTGTGGTCTCTGGTGGACAGTAAAGTTTAGCTTCTGGGTGAAAGACTTTCCACACACGTTACATTCATAAGGTTTATTTCCTGTGTGTGTTCTCTGGTGGAGAGTAAGTTGTGACTTCTTGGTAAAAGACTTTCCACACAGGTTACATTCATAAGGTTTCTCTCCTGTGTGTGTTCTCTGGTGGACAGTAAGGTTTGACTTCTTGGTGAAAGACTTTCCACACATGTTACATTCATAAGGTTTCTCGCCTGTGTGTGTTCTCTGGTGGACAGTAAGGTTTGACCTCTTGGTGAAAGACTTTCCACACACATTACATTCATGAGGTTTCTCTCCTGTGTGTGTTCTCTGGTGGACAGTAAAGTGTAGCTTCTGGGTGAAAGACTTTCCACACATGTTACATTCATAAGATTTGTTTCCTGTGTGTGTTCTCTGGTGAACAGTAAGGTGTGACTTCTGTGTGTAAGACTTTCCACACATATTACATTCATAAGGTTTCTCTCCTGTGTGTGTTCTCTGGTGGTCAGTAAGATATGCCTTGCGGGTGAAAGACTTTCCACACAGGTTACATTCATAAGGTTTCTCTCCTGTGTGTGTTCTCTGGTGGACAGTAAGGTTTGACTTCTTGGTGAAAGACTTTTCACACATGTTACATTCAAAAGGTTTCTCGCCTGTGTGTCTTCTCTGGTGGACAGTAAGTTTTGCCTTCGAGGTAAAAGACATTTCACACATGTTACATTCAAAAGGTTTCTCGCCTGTGTGTGTTCTCTGGTGGACAGTGAGAGTTGACTTCTCGGTGAAAGTCTTTCCACAAAAGTTACATTCATTAGGTTTTTTTCCTGTGTGTCGTCTCTGATGGACAGTGAGAGTTGACTTCTGGGTGAAAGACTTTCCACACATATTACATTCATAAGGTTTCTCTCCTGTGTGTGTTCTCTGGTGGTCAGTAAGATATGTCTTGCAGGTGAAAGACTTTTCACACATGTTACATTCAAAAGGTTTCTCGCCTGTGTGTCTTCTCTGGTGGACAGTAAGGTTTGACTTCGAGGTAAAAGACATTTCACACATGTTACATTCATAAGGTTTCTCATTTGTGTGTCTTCTCTGGTGGACAGTAAGGTATGCCTTACTGGTCAAAATCTTTCCACACATTTTACTTTCATATGGTTTCTCTCCTGTGTATGTTCTCTGAGGGACTATAGGGTGTGTCTTCTCAGTGAAAGACCCTTTACATTGTTTATAATCCTCAACTACAGAAGACACCTGAGGGCTATATACAGCACACATCTTACCAGGTTCACTCAAAACACTCATGTTCTGACACCCAGTGATGTTTTCTGTCCTCATTCCTAAGGAGTTCCCATTATTCTTAATCAGTTCTGACTTCTGTTTTGAGCTCAAATTAAAACTTTTTATAAGTCTCAGTTTTTCCTCCCCTGGGTTAATATTTATGACTGCTACTTCAGAGAGATTCTTATTGTGACTTTCCTGACAGGTGCTAATCACATCCTCCATTTGTGGGACATCTAAAATGCATAATAGAAAAATAGACAAAAACATAAATGAGATCCATAAATTCCTTACTGTAAAGGTATTTTCTCACATTTTAACTGTTACAAGATTTTCAAATATCAAAGCATTGTTTTATGCAGAATATAAAATTTTCTCTGCAATGGAATAACTATGAATGTAGTATTGACATTTTAAAATGGAAAATAATGTTTTTCTGTATTTCAGATTTTTCTATTTTTTTCTAGGAAATATTTACTGAAATTATTCATCAACGTACTCTTAATGGTTCCATTCTGAATCTCACTCTATGCCCAGCACAACTCATAAGCTATTGTCCTGATGAGAGAATAGCAGCACTACCATTCTCCTATTTTCCTCCTACCTGCATAATACTAGTTTAAAAGAAAATGAGATCTCCTTTTGTACATTTCTTATGGTCTTTTTCTCTTCAAGAATGACTTCTCTACAGACAAAGAGAATTGCTAACCTTAAGTACACTGGCACACCAAATGCAGTTTGCCTCCATGTGAATTCTGGATTGACAATTCCTTGAGACAAAGGATCACCTAGTTCTCTGCCATACATGACTCAGGGGCACTAGGAATACTATCACTCTGTACAGCTCAAGATAAACAGACCAACTGGGCTCTGGACCCATCATCACCATTCAAGATGCTTTAACTCACCTGTAAAATACTTGTCTGAGGCTTCTCTTATCCATGGATCTGCACCTTGCTCCAGCATCATGATCAATTTAGGTTTAGGAACACAGTGTCCTATGATTAAGAAATAGTGGAGAATTATTGCTCTTGCTGGGTCATCATTAATTTAAGGTCACAGACATCATGTTCACAAGGTTGCTCCTAAATCTGGTTTCTCAATTGTTTTTTGGGGGTTGGGGATTTAGTTCTGGGGTCTGAACTCTGGGCCTGGGCACTGTCCGGCAGATCTTCAGCTCAAGGCTAGCACTGTATCACATGAGCCACATAGCCAATTCCAGCTTTTTTTTTTCTTTCTGCTTATGTGGTGCTGAGGAATCCAACACAGGTCCTCATGCATGGAAGGCAATTCCTCTGCCATTGAGCCATTTTCCCAGTCCATGGTTTCTCAATTCTTTTTTTTTTTTTTTAGTCAGTCGTGGGGCTTGAACTCTGAGCCTGGGTGCTGTCCCTCAGCTCTTCAGCTCAAGGCGAGCGCGCTAACACTTGAGCTACAGCGCCACTTCCGGTTTTCTGGTATTTTATTGGAGATAGGGTCTCACGGTCTTTCCTGCCCGGGCTGGCTTTGAACCGCGATCCTCAGATCTCAGCCTCCTGAGTAGCTAGGATTATAGGCGTGAGCCTCCAGCGCCCGGCTTGGTTTCTGAATTCTTAACAGCTCCATGGTGGAGTAGCATCCAGCTTTGGGTTTATTTTGCCAACTGTGTGGCTTGAACTCAGCTGTTTTGCTAAAAGCTAGCATTCTACTAGTTTGAGTCTTGGCTACATTTCTGGTTTTTGAATGCTTAATTGGAGATAAGAGTCTCATGGTGATTTTTCTACAGCTGCTGGTTTCAAACTGAAACCTTCAGATGTCAGCCTCCGGAGTATCTAGGATTGGTAGCTTGAAGCACTAAACCCTGTATCAGGTTTGGCTTACAAATACACACTTTCACCTATTGATATCCAGAGCATACTCTCAGTAGTAATGTATGTTCTATTAATTACCCAAGTCTGGGAAGTCAGTCTCCTATTAGTGGATCATAGCTTAGAACTTTTGTCCAACTACTGATTTGCCTTCTTAAAGAACGAGAATAAAATTAGCTATTGTGTTACATATAATGAAGTTGAAGTTTTCCTTAGAAAAAAATGACAATTTCCATGGCCTCGAATCTTTTTTTTTTTTTTTTTTTGTAGAAATTGTAATGGTCCAAATGCTTACACCTGTAATCCTACATTTAGGAGGTGAGATCAGAAGAGGAAGGTTTGTAACCAAACTGGGCATGGAAACACAGAATATACCCCAAAACAAAAACGAAAATAGAATTGTGGCTCAAGCACTAGTGTGAAAGACAAACAACACCAGGCTCTCAGACTCAAATTTGACTGGCTTATATACTAGTAGTTTTTTACCTGGAAATGGCCTGGAATCTTCTCCCTAAATAACATAAATAGTCTAATGTCTACTAAAATAAAAGCACTTGACCTTAGAAAGTAAAAATAACCTTTGCTCACCCAAGGACTTGAGGTTGCTATAGGTCTCCAGCATTACATCTCTATGAAGGGTCCTCTGACCAGGATCCAGATCCTGCCACTCCTTCCAGGTGAAGTACACAGCCACATCATCAAATGACATCAGCTTCTGTAATGGCACATTTCCATCAAGAAATTAGACCTGGGTTATGAGAATTCCAATCTGGAATTTCATTATGCTGCAGTTATGCTTTGGTCTTACATAAAATGTTTGCAGCTAGTTTGTTATCTATTCACTAGGAGAATTAAATACCAAACTAGAAATATTTTACAATACATAAACCAGGACCTTAAAATACACAGATTTGCAGCGTGCTGGTGGCTTATGCCTGTAATCCTAGCTATTCAGGAGGCTGAGGTCTGAGGATCAAGGTTCAAGGCCAGCCCAGGCAGGAAAGTCCATGAGACACTTATCTCCAATAAACCACCAGAAAAATGAAAGTAGCACTGTCACTCAAGTGGTAGCACTCACCTTAACCTGAAGAGCGGAAGGAAAAAAATCAGACCCAGAATTCAAGCCCCAAGACCAATAAAAGATTACA